AAAAATAAATAAATAAATAAATAAATAAAATGCCCCAGGCATCAGTGGTTGTATGTAACTTTAAGCTAGAAAATCTTTTTTCCTTTTTGCTATTTTGAAGTAATTTATTTCCAGTCTGATACAAATCATAACTTTTGTTATAACACAAAAATGTGTTAAATTAGCTCAATGTAAAATGTGTTCTCTGTAATCCGTGCCTTACATAAATCCATAAATTTCTTAATAGGGTACAGAAGTATGTCCCACCAAGGTAAACTTTTGGAAAATCATCCAAGATACCAAATTTCAGGCCAGTTCTGTTAATTGTATTTCACATCATTGTGCTATATAAGCTTTTCAGATATGTAGAAATTAATACAAGATGGTACTATCTATGTAAATGTTTTGTTCTGGTAACTTAAAGTATCATTTGTAAATTCAGTTTATTTCATTGCCCTTTACTTTTGAAATTAAGTTATTAAATCACAGACTTCAAGTACATGTCAGAGAAAATGGAAACAAACCTCAACTAAAGGCATTTTCAGTCCCCCAATTTTATTAATTACAAGTTAGTTACAAATAGCACAATGATTTATGGTTTTTCAGAAATCTCTAAAGCTCTGAGTTAGATTCCATCTCTTATCTGATAGTAACAGTACCTCTTGTACACAAAGGTAAGTGTAAAAGGATATTGGAGACACCATTCTTTGTAACAGGAAAACTGGCCATCATCTCAGCCTGTGCCAATTATGATAAATAGATAACAGAGTTCAGTTATAATGGAATGCAGAGCATATCAACAATATGGAATGTATTTGTGATAAACAGTGGAAAAGGCAAATTATTAAGTAGTGTGCTCCTTTTGTGTTGGATAAAAGAAAAGTAGAACTAAACTCAGTAAAATCTCTGGTAGGTTAAGAACCAAATTATGTAGTTTTTCTCTGTGTGCTGAAGGGGAAAATATGGAGAAAGACATGTTTTTCCATTTGGATTTTTTATAACTATATTTTACTTCTGTAATATTAACAAAGTAAAGAAAGCTACATTTTGATGAGGAACTTTTAAGCTGGATGGAGGTCATATCTTGTCATGAGAGATTTCCTGTTGGGCCATAAGATGACTGTCATTGGGCTGACTCCATGCTTATTGGGCTGACTCCATGCTAACACCATGCTTATTTCCTTCCTAGCGTTATAGCCTTCAGAAAAGCCAACAAAGTGGGTATTTTCATCAAAGTGACCCCACAACGTGAGGAGGGTGAAGTGACCGTTTGTTTTAAGATGAAACATGATTTTAAAAACCTGGCAGCCCCCATCCGCCCCATCGAAGAAGGTGACCAGGGCACCGAAGTCATCTGGCTCACCCAGCACGTGGAACTCAGCTTGGGCCCACTTCTTCCTTAAGAGGTATCCCTGGTGGGCAGACCCCAAAGGACAGTATCACCACCACCCGCGTTAAGATGTGGACGCCTCTCCTTCACCAGGCCTGTTTATAACGATGCACTACTGAGTCCTGTTCTTAGGAGGTGTGAGCACAGTCCGGCGACTGGGGACACTGCTTAACCGCCGATCCCTTTGCTCTCACTGCTGTTAGCCAGTAAGTCTGTGTCACTGAACCCTGCACGTTGAATAACAACAGCATATTTCTACCCCGGGATAGGGGATGGCTGTTCTTTGAAGTGGCCTTAGATTTGCCACCTGAGAAACTCTTAGCATACTATCGCCAAGTCTGATCTCTCAAAAGATCACAATGTCACGGATGATACTTCAGACAGTAATGAACGATGGGCCTGCTGTTCATGCTGGTCAGCACACCCACTGGTTTTTGCATTCCGCAAGATACAGCCTCATTGTCAAAACAACCCTTCACTTGCTATCATAGCTCCCATCTTGCCATAGGTTTCCATTTGATCATAAGCTAGGATCTTTAGTTTGGTGGTGTTTGGAAAAACCTGTGACACATTCTTAAGGCACTCTAATATGCCTTCTGCTAAGTGGATACAAAATGCTACTTATCAGTTCAAAAAAATCTTCCCCAGTAGAATATGGAACTAGTCTAAGAAGAATTTAAGAATTTAATCAATTATGTCATGTCAAGGGGGTGGCAAACTCTATTCTTTGTAAATGTCGCTACAGTTAACTTGGCCAGAGGGAGGCAATCTTTGTGTCTTACTCCCTATGCCTCTCATCTCTGCCTCTTTAACTCAGTAAATCGCTGAGTGTTTGGGGCTGGGAAAGAGCCCACCCAAATAAGCTGTGGTGGACAAGTTTTTTTCTGGCATGCAGAAAACATTTTTAAAGTTTGGATTTTTAGCATGATCTGAATTAATGTTCTTTCCCCTGGTTTGAAAGGGAAATTACAATGCTTATCTCTTAAATCCAAAACTAGATACTAAGAAAAATACCATGTTCCTGGGTTTAAGACTTACCATATGGTATATCAAACAACCGGTTTGATAGTAAACCATGAATTGTTAGCAAATTGCTCAGAACACTTGCCTAACAGCACACATGCTGTTTTCAGCTGGCGTCCTGGAATGGGGTTACTCACCTTAATTTCTGTGATGGTTTCTAAAATGAGACATCACAAAGAAGATTACCAAGTTGTATCACACTTTTTGTTAGTGAACTGTTAGCAAGTGGCTAACATCCTTTTGGGCAAAGGAGAAATTTCCTCGTTACCCTGATTTTGTTTTTTAAGTTCAAGCCTGTCCTCTTAAAAAGAAATATATATAATAAGCTAGAATACAGACAGAGCATAGTACTGCTCATCTCTGCTGAGAGGATAAAAATAAATAGAAAGCCTTTGAAAGACACTAAATTATACTTTTAAGGTCAGGCCAGTTTTATGAAACAATATTCCACAGATTAATATAGTTGCTGCAGTGTAAGGGAAACTAATCATATTTCTACTATTATGGAAGTAAGACGTAGGGTTAGCCTCTTAGGAGTGGGGTGGGGTGGGGGTGGGGGTTGTAGAATGATAAATTTGCAGGCTAGAAATAGTTTAATTTTTGTGACCCCACGTAGTGTCAAATTCATTTTTATTTCCTGACCTGCGAGAGCCTGTTGTGAAACCAGAATGGAGACTAGCTTCGGACGGCTATGCCTTCGCATAGTTGAAGTGACGCCTCTCATCAGCTCCACGTGATACAAAAACAGACACTTTATCGTAGGTTTTTTTTCCCTCCAGAAGCCAAATTGCAGAATAGCAGAGCCCTTGGTTTAATGTTTCCTCGAGATAGTTTTCCATGCAGGCTTACATTCTGTGTACTAGTAGAAAATGGTTTAACACCTGCAGCTGGTGGGTTTGGAATTTTACTTGTTGCTTTTTATATTAGAGTAAGTGCAAGATTTTTAATGCCTAGTCATTGTGTGCCACTGCAGGAGAATTAGATGTCATTAGCACTTGAAACTACAATTTTGGAAACTTAAGGCTAAGTTAATTTGGACTTGTCATTTGTTTAACCTACCAAAGTTTTTTGGTTCAAAGTGCTTAAAGGCATAATGAGGTAACGTCATGTATATTTGTGAAGAAATATCCTTTGACACCCCCCACCCAAAGAAATGAGAGGCATTCCTTGATCTTTATGAATGACAGGTTATTGTTTTGCCTTATTGCTTAACTTAATGTAGTGAAATAAAGCAGACAAAGCTTGAGTGTGCCTTTTGTTTGGTGTGGTGAGCAAGGTGGGAATATCACAGTCCAGATTCAGAAGCTGGGTGAAGGGACAACTGTGAGTCAGGATGGGTCACGCTCCTCCCATTTCTGTACCAAACTGAGTTGAAACCTGGCACGTTAGCTCACTGCGACATGAGATGTATGTGGATGTTGCACTCCCTGACACATTTTCTTAAAACCACTCTGGATTTTCACTTTGTTAGGCTGTCCCGCTTTCATCCTGGTCATTACTCCCAAGCTGTTTCAAATACACACAGTGTCCTAAACCCAGCAAGCGGCTCTCAGTGCCTCCTGCACTCAAGCCTCCTTTTTCCCTGTCACCGTGACACCTTCACACTCCTGTACTAGAACCCCACCACTTAACGTACTCAATCTATTCCTCCTATTCCGCACTTCTCCCGCTCCTGCATTGTTTCCATCAGCCTGCGATGATCTTTTTAGAAAGAAATAGGCAGACACCCCTCGCCCTATTATTCAGCTACTACCCAGCTTCTCTACTCTCTTTGCAGAAAAACTTCAATTGTATCTATCCTCATCTGAGCCCACCACGTCACCAGAATGCTCATCAAGGTCCCGATACATCTTTCAATTTTCAGTCCTTTCCTCTTCTGTCAGTAGCATCTGAAAGTTGATCCCTATCTTGATACTTTTCCATACTTGGTTTCTGGAACTGGCATCCTGGTTTTCCTTCTACTTTACTGATGATAGCTGTTCCATAGCCTTTGCTAGTTCCTTCCCATCTTCCCAGTTTTGGTGTGTACCATGTACCAGGTCTCTTAACATTTCTTTTCACTCTTAAAGATCTCACCTATATTTTTTAGGCCATCTCTTAAATTTACATACCAACTCTAGAATAGTCAGGGAGCCCAAACTGAGGTTTCCCACATCTTCCTCTCCTGCAGTTGTCTGTAACTAACTCCCTTTTAATTATTTATGACAAAAAACCTTCGCCTCATCGGTGCCTACTCTTACATACCACATCCAGTAATCGAACAAATCCCATTAGCTCTATCTTCACACTGTAACTGCTTCACATCCTCCCAAGTATTACTGTCTGGGTCAAATCACTATATATATTGACTCCTAGAGGATGACTGCAGTAGCATCCAAACTGGTCTTTAAACTACCCTGTTCTTTACTCCCACCCTTGAGTCAATTTTTAACACAGCACCCAGTGACTAAGTAATTTCTATCTTTAAATTCAAGCTGGCTTCTTAGCTTATAAAGCTTTAAAAGCAAAAAAGGAAAAATCCAAACTCCTTAAAATAGTTTTTTTTTTTTTTTTTTAATTTTTTTTTATTTGTGCATACAGAACTGGGGTACAGGCCAGAAGCTCAGGGGCGGTGAGAGGCTTCACCAGAGACAGAGCGGGGCGCAGAACAGGCAGATCGACGAAGTACTCTGCTGAGGGGAGCAGCGGGTGGGTCAGGAGAGGTCTGCCACGCCATATAGTCACCTCCGGGGCAGGCGGGAATCGAACTCATGCGGAAGTGGCTTTAGCTTCTCAGCGCTGTGCTTTCACCCGCTGCGCCACCGGGGAGGGCCACAATAGCTTTTTTGACCTGAAAGCCAACCCTTACTTTGGCTGCTCCCAAAATTTATCATCCTTTACCCGTTTCTTACTGCACCTCAGGCTTGATTCAGCTTTTCCTGAGTCACCATAGGAAGGCTCCTCTCGTAACCTTTGCAGTAACTGCCTCTGCCTGGAACGTCCTCTCCCAGGTATCAATAACCCATATCTACTCCAAGTATTTGGTCAAACATTTTCTTAATGAGGCTTAGCCTTTTTATTTAATGTAGACTGTTTTCTGCTAAGCACATTCCCTATACCTTAATTTTTCCTTCTATTTTTTCAAAGGAAAGGATTTTTTTTAAGATGTGTTTTATTTATGCATACAGAACTGGGGTACAGGCAGAGGTACAGGTGCAGTGAGAGGATTCACCAGAGACATAGTTGGGAGCAGAACAGGCAGATTGATGAAGTCCACTGCGGAGGGGAGCGCAGGCAAGACAGGAGAGATCTGCTGAGCTATGTGGGTTAGCTCCCTAGCCTCGGATAGAGCTTGTGCTGAAGCAGCTGTGGCTAGCTTCATGGTGCTGCGCTTTAACCCACTGCGCCACCAGGGAGGGCCCCTTTCTTTTTTACTTAAACATCACCTATCACCATCTAGCACATCATATACACCATTTGCTTATTTTCTAACAATATACTGGAACATGGGCTCCACACAACAGGGATTTTTGTCTGTCTTGTTTTTTTGTTTGTTTTTCTATTTTAAATACAAAGCCTAGAATAGTGCCTGGTAAATTATTGTTGTAGTTCTTTTGTAACCTTGAAATACAATTCCCTTTTTCTCCACCTTCTCCAGAATTACTTTTTTACTCACATTTCCCCCTTATTCCCATGTGTATTTTATCATAATCTCTAGCACTCTGTCTCTCCAGGACATTTACTCTCCTGCTGTGTACACATAGCTCCTTTACTGGATTGCAACCCACTTCATAAACCAGGCCCCTTTATCAACTGTTTTTCCCATATTTCATTCAAATGGCAATCTGGAGCAAAGTTCACAGTGTGATACACCTTTAACAAGATAGTGACTTTAAGTGTTAAATGAAAGTAACAAACTGGGATGAAAGGCAGGGGCGGCCATACTTACAGCAGATAAAATAGACTTATAACTGCAAAATACAGTAAGAGTCATTGGTGGTCATTCTATTATGCTTATAATGAATAAAGGAACAACACATCAAGAAACATAACATTCATCTGTATATATATACACACAAAATGAAGGAGCATTAAATCATATGACAAGCTGAAAACAGAGATGGAAACAACACAGTATTGTAGGAGATCATAACATTCCACTGCCGTCAGTGGACAGACCTATCTGGAAGAAAATCAACAAGGAAACAATAGCCTGAAATGAGGAATTAGACCACATGGGCTTAACATTTATAGGGCATAACAGTCCCTCCCCCCACCAAAAATAGTACACATTCCTTTCAAATATACATGGGAGGGACATTCTCAAGGAAAGACCA